CCCCCCCCCCCAAAGCTTAGGGCAGAGAAGCAGCTCTGGACATACTCTCTTCTCATTACAGGAAAAATAAAAAACCCAAATAAATCACAGGATTATACAGTTCAAGATCTTAACTCTACAGTTAAGTACTAATATTAATCAATTGTGAAACCTTCAAAATACATATAATTCCTAGTTGGTAGCCACTAGATTTTCCTCTCTATTTAGGATAGCCACCCTATTATTTGCCCTTTATATCCTTCCGATTCAGAAAATTATCTTCCATGCAATCAAACATTTCAGAAACAGATGCCGTACTATAAACTTGTCCCAAGTAGTGTCTGGATGGTTGCAGGCACCCAGGAGCACCAAGTCATTTGTTTTTACCATCTGTTCTATTTCCCAAAGCAATAACTTGTATCTTTTCTTCTTGATTAGGTGGTCTACTCTAGAGCAAACTCTAAAATATGCTTGATTTTCCCCTGCCTGAGTTGTTTTTTTTAAAAAAAGTCACATTTGAAGTTGTACTCTTACAGCATTATACAGTCAGATTTTCAGGAAGTACTTACATGTTTTTTTCTGTGTCTACCTATCATATGTGAAAAGTAACCCATTCTAACATTCTAGTCAACACATCCATCCTACTAAAGGAATTTTACAAGGCAAACATTATTCAACACTATTAATTTTAAGGCATTTACTCTAACATGCTTTAAAAAAACCTTATAAAACAAAGCTTCCCTACCCTCTCCTTTGCTTGACACTCATTTAAACTTTTACTCCTGGACAGTCAAGATACATACACATAAGTTCTTTCTCATTTTTGGCAGTATTTCATTACTTGATCCTTCCCCTGTCCTACCTCTGCCTCCCTTTCAAATGGTAGTGTTCTTGCAGTCTTTCAAGAGCCCTGCTTTTAATTGTATAAAGTAACCATTCACCCAGCTGACTGAATTCACTGGTTCTCAGACACACATGCATTTGTCAGAGGCATCTTTTTCTGATTAACCCCTCTCCTTCAATTTTCTAATGCAAAACTGACCGATTTTACCTTCTCCCAAGAATTTAGCAGACCTTTTTATACAAGTCCTTTGGTTTGTTTAGCAGTACCCACGCTAGATAAGGATGGCTCATTTACATTTACATTCTGTCACCAAAATATAAATTTCTACTGCTTCACTGTTAAATTACCACTTGGGATTCAGAACTGAGGTGCAATGATTTATAAGCACTTTACAGTAAACCCTGAGCTGACTACAGAGAATCTCAACATCTTCTCCACTCAGTATAAACTTGTTTTTTCCCCTCCTAAGCACCAGGTCCACATGTTATTTTCACATTCATATCAAGTCTTATCACTAAGTGTTGAAGCACAACTGACATTTTGTCATGGCTCACAGTTTTATATACACTCGTCCTTCAGGAACTTAGTTTACATGCATCTTTCACAGCACCAGCAGCATTTCTCCAATACTAACAAGGTTAGTACTTTTAGCTCTGACACATCCTTTCAGTTTCTATTATCCCTTTCCCCATGCAGTTCTGTAAGCAGTCATGTTTCAGACTTGAACAGATAAGAGTCCTCATACCTAGAAACATAGGGACAGGCATCGTATTTGTTACATTACACAGAAAAAGCTACTGCATTCCAGACCCTACTGACAGTACACTTATTTTGATCTATAGCTGAGTATTAAAAAAAGTAAAAAATTAACAACTTAAGAACAACTTTTATTTGAAGTTCTTATTAGAAATCTCTGGGGTTTTCTGTAATTGCCATTGATCAATTCAATAGGTCAACTTCTACAACAATAAACTGCCCCTTAGATAAACAGCAATTATGATAGTTGCACATATAAAAATAATGCTGGTACCACTTACCATGACATGATGCAATCCATAGTACATCAAAATGTCTGCTAAGGTAAAAATGTTTCCTGCAAGATAGACTTTATCTTCAAGATGTATATTAAGATCCTAAAAAGGAAAAAGTAATTACACTACTGTAGTATTGACTTTGTAAGACAAATTATGAAGGCAATTGTTAAAAAATAATAAAAAACTTCCTCTGGAGAATAATAATATAAAATAATGCCAGCTTTAGTTTATCCCAACTCAAAGGAGAAAAACATTAAAACAATAAAAAAATTCTAGAAAGTATCAAGATAATAAACTAAAATATCATCTTTTGACAGCAAGAATCTGATAAAATTTAAATGTTGGTCTCCAAACAAAATGCTAGCCAGCTTGCTGCCGGCACAATTTTTCATAATTCCTCCACTTACATCCACTCAAATTTTTGTAAATACAAGTGTAATTATTTTACGTATTAAGCTGACTCCACAGAAATACTTTCAAATCTGTCTCTTCTTGGCTTCAAATTACTGGAATTCAAAAATGCAAGAGTTGTGTAATTTTTTTTTTTTTTATTAGTGCATATGACTCAGAAGCACCACTGTTATACATTTAACATTTGCTAAGTAGAAAATTAAGTCCTATGATCAAAGGAGAGCATATTGCTCTTCCAGCAGCAGCTTCTCCTGTCCTCCAGGACTCATTCAATGCAGCTGGTCAGCAAAGTCCTGGAACTGAAAATGTGTAAGAACCAAGAAAACACAAAGGGATAGTGAGGTGGGAGACAAATAAGTTTCTGGCACTGAGCTTGAAATATGTTGATACCCATCAGCTGGTATCATTTGGCACCTGCTCTTATTAATGCTGAAATCACTGCTAGCAATTCTTAACAACCAATAGTGTCAAATTCAGTTGTTATTTAAGTTCATATGAAGAGGGCACTTGTTCAGCATTTTGACCATCTCTCAACAATTCTGTATCAGAGGCTGTAAGGCTGGGTAGTAGAAGCCTTCCGTTTATGTTCAATGAATAAATATTTCAGATCTGAATTACTGAAAGACTCTTTTTCATGGCTTTTTGTATGCAGTCATTCTCTGCTAGAAAACAGGAAGCTGACAGACTCATCACTGCTCAGGTGTATCACTTCTGAGAACATAGGCATCACACATCAGCTCTAACTCTTTATTTGTATCACAGAATCTAGTCCCAACACCTCTGCCATGGCAGGGACACCTTCCACTAGACCAAGTTGCTCAAAGTCCCATCCAGGCTGGCCTTCCTTTTCTCCATATCTTACCTACTTCTCATACAATTTACGCACCCTTCTGACCCCTACTTCACTCTAAAGAAATAAATATAACAGCAAACAAAATTACATATTTTAACCCTGATCCCAGCATAAGCAAGCTTTAGTTTTGTAATTTTATTTTCAGAAATGTAGGAAAACAATTTCTCAGCTTTTCCTTGGATTTGGAAACTGATAGCATTTCTCTGCTGGTTGAAAAGACCTAGATAGTAAATGCCCTCCTTCCTCAGAGATCTCCTTAAGTCACTCCCACCCCTAACTCCAGAAACAGAAAAAAGCAGCTTAAACATAACTAACATTTTTCAAAACGTTCCTGAAATAACTTTTCAGTCTCAGTTACAGCATGTTCCATTTTAAGACAACCTTTTATTTTAAAATAGTCTAGGGCAAGAAGAAGGAGGTTAATAATTAGCGAACAATTTAAAAATTACATTTATCTTTAAGCATACTGCAGTTTTCACGGTTCATAGTTTTACTGCTGCAGAGATATCCTACAGTGCATATGTAAAAATTCCAAAACACAAAACTGAAATGCTGAGACTTTAAGACATCTGACCTTGTATTTGAATTTGACAAGTTTGACTCCATTATGCCACCTTATTATTTCTTTGATAACCTCTTCATGACAGGACTCCTGCACTTCTGTAATATTTAAACATACTCCTGTCTGCTTTGATTTCTTTTATTAGCGCAAATCAGGGAAAAATATTAACCCCTGCATAGTTAAAATTCTATAAGGTCATCTGCCCCTGGCTATGTAGCTTCTGTTCTTTAGACTGGTTTACTGCTTTGTGTTAGTAAGCGCTCAAATTACTTTAAACATGTAACTACAGTTCTGCAGAATTTCATACAGCACAGAGACAAATGCAATACTAAGAAAAAGCTTGCAGGAAGAAAAATATATCCAGAGATTTGTTTACTTAAAAAAAATAAATCATAAACTCATCTATTCTGACACCACTTCTCTGACCAGCAGTTTTCATTTTGATCAACCAGAAATTCAACATGCATTATAATGAGAAGTAACATCGCTGAAATTATACACATACACACCCCCTTAGTCTAGGCTATGGAAACAGGATTCTGTAAAGTAAAAAAACCTCATTATCTCTGAAGGTACTGACAACAGTTATTTCCCTGCCCAAAATTTGGAATTTTTGCATCAAAGTTATGGCATGCTAATTCTTAGTTTTATACATGACTTCAAGAGGCAGGATAGTTTCTATGCAGAAATACTGTTTATTTAGTTGTTTCAGGACAGCTTAATATCATGTTACTTATCATTTGTTCTTTGAATATACAGTGCAAAACATCAGCTAAAAATATCCTCAGGCTTTAAAGGCAAGGTAAGACACAACAACATGAACAATTATTTATTCTGGTTCATCAAATTTTATGGAGTCAATTAAATGAGAAAATGGAACTTGACAAAAATGGTTTAGCCTTGGACAAATTAGCATTAGTTTAAAATTCTGGTTTTTCACATGTACCTTCCCCACATAAAACACAGACAGGTATTCTGATTTCATCCTGTAGCTCAAGCTAATTCAGAAACACCACTTTTTTTCCTCCATGTGCACTAGGCACATTTAGTTAATCTTGCCTCATGGGTTATGCTTCCCATAGATGATTATATTATTGGCTAACAGCCAACCGTGTTAAAATTCCTGCAAATCAAGCTTTCTTAAGTGACCACAGTATTAAATTGAAATAGTGTTCCTGTCCTGGAGAGATTAATGAAAATACGAATACAAAACTGTACTTGAATTTCTATTACATACAGGAAATTCAGATCTGTTAGTTGTCATTTGTATCATCTTTCACATACTGAACATCAGTAAAATTGATTACGTATACATAATCCCAGTATCAAATGACTGAAAGAGTCTTGGAAGTTGCTTTCAACTATATGAACTTACTGTTGCAATCCCTTAGGAAACCCCTTCTCAAATTTCAGACAGGTATTTAAGACATAACTGCAGTCTGATGCACTAATATGCATAGAACAACTGCAGGAATTCAAATTCCCTTTTTAGGTATGAGGGGGGGAAAAGCAACAAAAAGAAGAGATGTTGCATTATTCACGGACTAACCAAAGGATTTACATTTGCTTGTTCTATAAAAAAATAAATCCAGTTTACAGCACGTATCTAGAGTGACAACTCAACACATTCCCATCCAAGGTACACTTCTGGCTACACTCTAGTGTTGCTTACTATCTTTTGAGTATGCAACCTAATTGTCCAATTCATCCATTAGGTGACTGAATCCCTTCCAGTCACCACAAGTTGAGACAGCAGCTCAGGTAAGTAACAGCCATTTCTTGCAATGACTCAATAGTTTATAACAGATCTAATCCAAATCAAAATCAGAGTATGGTCTTTTGTCCATAACAACACAC